TCATTGCGTTGTTTGTAGAAATACTATAAATATGTAAAAGCAAAGTATTAAAGTATAATTTGCATTTGGTAAATAAAAGTGTCTTTGGACTAGAATTGCACCACATGCATATAAAACATTATAAGAAAAAAATAGTGTTCACTTACCAGACTGATCAACATGGTAGTTAGCTGAATTACATCTGTGTATGCTACCGAGTACAGGCCTCCCAGCAGTGTATATACTATGGCCACTAAAGACGAGATTAGGATTGAGTGAATGGAAGATATGTCCAGTATAACACTCATTGTTCCTCCTGTAACAGATTATTAAAACAAAATGCTCATGACACACACAAGTACTGTAAACATCTCCTTCCTGGAGGCTGAAGAACTGGAAAACTTGTAAAGATGGAATGGATGTTGGCCCTCAGGTTTACATACATTTTTTATATGAAAAAATGTTCATTGTCATTGCTTCTCAGATAAAAAAGGCTGCCTCTGGCAAACAGCCTTCTGGGTATTCTGACTACACTATGTGCAAAACTGCATTGTTGAAGCCAAAGAAAAAGAAATTGTCCTCATTATGTTAAGACTGACAATTATTTTGATTTCTCATTCTTGGAGAATAAAAGCCCTTTTATAGGCTTTTTCATCTAACTGCTTTGAAATAATGCTCTTTAACAATTTTGTTGACGACTAGTGTCTTACATTGTTGAAAAGGAGAACGTAAGAGACAGCTGAATGGAAATCACACATGTTTTGATTCATAACTGTATTTTACATGTTATGAAGTGGTTTTAGTTGTATTTTTAATATTATATATAAAAATAACACACTCTTTTGTTCATAAAGAGAAGTTGAGCTTTTACTTACCTAAAGCGCTTAGAATGCAAGCCACCCATAATATATCTCCAATGAAAGCAGGTATTAGAAGAAAACTTGTGAGTGTGTTTCCATATTTTTGTTGAAATGGATCCATCATTGTCACATACTGTTTGGATCTCATTGGCTTGGCAAAGAAAATCCCACCTAATTAGAAAAAAGTGGTGCTGAACTTTTTTATGGTGTTAAGCC